GCGAAATCTAGTGATGGCTTTTAGAATAATAAAGAATCTTAGCTTTATATTATATATAAAATAATCGAAAATCCTTTACTGTTTCTCCTACATTTAAAGTGTTATTTTCTCATTCACTTTCCCTTATATAGATACCCAACTCTTCTGCGGTTTCCACGTACCATCTCTTCATTTCCCACGCAGCATGTATAAATTCTGATATTTGTTAGCCATAATTTAATGCATTCTAAGCCTGATGCTAATAAGCCAGGTCAACCTCACACACACACACACACTGACCACCCTGGCAACAGATTGCAAAACCCCAAAATACCGAGTGTCATCATCCTGTATTTTAATTATTTAGTTGTGCAAATTGATTTAGCAAAATGTACGGGCTGGTTTTGCCCAACTCGCAGCGCGTCCTTGTGGGTCCTCGCACTTCATCGCCGCGCTAACAACTCATAGTTGGGCTGCTTGTTTGCGGTTCTTGTTAGTTGTTGTCGCCACCCCATGACCAGTTTTCATCTCCACATTCCACTCCACCCTCCCCCTTATGAGCCCCGCCAAAAAGTTTCCCAGCGAAAAGTTCTTTGGGACAAATTGTTGTCGCCCATCGAGAACGCCCCTTTTGCTGCACTGCGAGGGAAATATAGCAAGGTTTCTGAGTGTAAAATAACAAATGAAATCATTTTTTAAATTCAGAACTTGTATATTCGGTACAACCTTTATATTATTCCTGGTTTGATACCAAAAATAAATGGGTGAGAACTTAAAAATGAAAAGAAAAAATGCAAAGTTCCCTTCGAGTGCAACTAAAAGTAATCTCTCTCTCTCTAAAGAGACTTATAAGTTATTGTGGAATTATAAATGTTGTTGTGGTTGCTTCACTTGAACATTGCATTGAAGAGAGTACAAAAGTGGCAAAGAAATATCAAAAATACTGATCTAATACAAGGAATGCTTCAGTAAACTTCAAATAAAATAGTAACAAGTCAATTGGTTCCCTTTTTTCCCGAATTATATAAGGTTTTGCATAGCAATCATTTAAATATTGCATTAAGTGATATTTAAACTACTTAATCACCAAGTTTTCTCCTAGTGCAGCTTTAAATTTTTGCTTCAGTTTTAGTGCTAGTTCGCTAAAACGTCTACAGCTGCTAAAAGGTAACTGAATGAAACGTTGCTAATGACTGGATAAATATTTGTCCTGCGATGTTTGGATTACTTCTTTAGAACGTGACAACTGCGTTTTTCGGTCGACAGAAACAAAAAGTTTTTGCCAACTTTCAAGTTATAATTAAATGAAAACTGTTTGCAGATGATTGTGATTTGATTATTGTGGGGAAAGTTGAAAGGGACAAACTGGGAAAACTAATCAACGAATAGTTCTAGCGGCTATGAAGAGTGATGGCTAATAAAGAAATTAAATTTAGGAAGAAATAAATCAGACTGCGAATCTATTTTAAGATCATATTCAAAGCCTTATCCTTAAAATCCATGCAAATTCCTAACCATCCAATTAGAGTCGCCCACTTTTGCTGCTGCTCCTTCTTTATATATGTATGTTAATTCCTTGTTACACATTTTTCTTTTCTCAAAAAATTCCTTGGGATTCCGCTCACCTCACACAATTTTCTTGGCGGCCCAACAATGAAAATATGCCCCAAAGTATTTTGTGTCGGGGCGAAGAAAAGTTTCCGCATTTAAAATTAAGCTAACAAGCTGAAATCGTTTCTCGCACCCCAAAAGGCCTGGGACCTGGGTTGGCTAATGCCAATTATTGTAACAATATCAAAGGGACAGGAGAGGACAGGACCTCAAAGTGGGCGCAAGGAAATGTCCAAATTGCTGGAAAAATGGCTAGCAACAATTTTTTTGGGGGTATCTATCTATTAACAAGCAAATGGATACTTGTGTAAAAGTGTATTATATATATATGTTCCCAGATTGAGTATCTTTCCGGGCAGGCTTGGCAATTTGTTTTCCTCTATTTATATTTTTTGGGGAGAAATCACTTGACTTGTCGCAGTTGTCCTTGTCGCTTCCAGAGACGCTTCCTCCTCCTCCTCCTCCTCCTGCTTTATGGCATTCAGTGGAAGGAGTGTCAAAAAACTTGAACGCCTGTTGACACACACACACGCGAAATACTGAAGGACCTTCTTGGTTTTGTGGCTGCCGCTTGTAGCCGCCAAAAACATTTTGCTAACGATTTATGTCCGTTGCATGCTGACTTTCCTTTCCCTTTCCCATGGAAGCATCGCTTGCAGACAAATTTCTGCTAGTTTTTCAGTCCTGTGCATCGTGTGCTTAATGGCGCATCGCCATCATATTGGATTTCAGGACACCCTCGCACACAGGAGGAATGGACTGTAAGGATGGGTGCAGTCAGGAGTCGATGGCGGCAATAGCTCGAAGCAATTAGTTTAGTCTTACGGTAAAGATTCCCTCTTGAGGTTAAATGGGACAGGGGACTCTTCGGTGGCAGCTTCTCCTTGGAGTTCTGTTTCCCTGCTCTGCCCCTCTCTATTCCTGTCTCCCTGGATAGTGTTGCACTTTAAGTGGATGCTATGATGTCGGGGATTAGTTGTCCGACTTAAGCAGGCAGGGAAAATATAGCATTGGTATTTGTTAGGGTGAAATAACAAGTTGAGGAGAAAATACTTGGAGCTTGTGAAGAGAGATTAGTAATAATTAAGGAAATTAAACTTGCATTTTTAGAGTATTTGTTTTAACTCTCTTCCCGGGATAAGAGCTTACATAAATAAACAGCAAATTCTTTTAATTAGAAGCGATAACTTTTAAGGGTCACATACACATCTCTCTTCGGAGATCTTTGATCTGTAAAAAGACACTCATCAATTAACCCCTTGGAATTTTCCATTTTCCAACCAGTTAGGAAAATTTTTGTGCACTATCTGTCCGTTTCCCTTTTTTTTATCGAATCCCTTTGCTGGGGACAATTTTGGAAAGTTTTTAATTAAACCAACTTTAAAGCTTTTAGTGTTTTGAGCATGTGTGTGTGTGTGTCGACAGGACATGCCAAGGGACTTGCATACGCTCCTTTCTCTTTTCTCCTAAATCCTAGTGACCCTTTACTTGGTCTATATTAAATCTGAGCTGTCCTACAACAATGTAGCCATTAACACATTTGACCAAAAGTGTCACTGGACCCCAAGCTTAAAGGGGGAAAATAAAAAAATAAACACAACAACAAATGGCAAACAACCCGCAGGTTGGCCGAGAGGAGCAACTTTTCCCAGGACGGAGCACAGGAAGCAGATTGGTTTAAAGCCTAAAATCCTTTAGCAGCCTGACAGCTGTGGAAAAGGCAGATCGCTGGCTGGTGAAGGAGATGCAAACAAGCCGGGACAGAGGACAACGGACACTGGACACTGGGACATCGGGACACTGGGACAGTGGCCACAGGACCTGTGTCAAAGTTACCCAGCGAAGCGACAAAAAATGATGTATCAAACTGGACAGGAAAAAGGAAGGCAGCAGGGCGGTGGTAGTAACTTGAGAGGGGGGCGTGGCACGGCCCAGTTTGTCCATAGTCCATCGTCGTCCTTTTTTTATATTTAAAGTTACACCTACAAAAGCGTCAGCTGTGCATCCACATCGTCATCATCCCGGCTTCGTCCTGTCATGTCTCGTCCCACGCCGCTTCGCTGGGTTCACTGGGTTCACAGGAGCGGCTCCATGTTTTTCTTCTTTTTGTTTTTCGTCTTTGCTTTATTTTAGCCGCTTGCTTTGCGGTTTTTTATTTGAGTTTTGTATTAGTTTTTGATTGTCTACCGATGAGTTTGGGGCTCGTTGGTTTTTATGTATAGATATTTGGGGAAAAGAGCAATATTTTCATGGAAATTCAAGTTGGTTTTGTTAATAACAGCGTCCCTTATGTTATGTCTGCTGTAAAGCTCTGACATTTCTAGCATGCGATAATTTTTAAAAGGGTTGGTATCCTGGCTAATGTTATGGCTATGTTATTAAGTTTAACAGAGTAAGTAACAGTAAGGGTTTCCATGTTAAAATTTGAATTTTTTGGTTTAAGGTTGAAAATATTTAAATTTAGTAAAGGAGAGGAAGGAAAAGCACACCTATAACCTTTGTTAATAAAACAATTCTACACTTTTAACATGGTTTATTTATGTAGAATTCTAATTGTAAGCTTAAAGTAATTTTGAACCGATTCTGCTCCTTAAAAAAGTACAAATCTTATACCCCTTTCTCCTTAGTTTTCCTCCCCTTTTATTTACTTGATGACCGTTAACTTTAATACCCAGTATCCTGGAACACTTTTGCTGGCTAACCTCTGGCGCATCCCTATAATTTATCATTCCAAAGTATCTAAGCTTGCCTTTTATCTTAACCATTATCTCCATTTCAACCCCCAGGACGCTCTTTAATGCCGGCCCCAGAAAAGTGTAAACAGCAAAAACAATTGTCTAAGGGCACGCAAAATGCTCCCTTATTTTCCTTTGTTTTCCCTTGTATTTTGCCTTTTCTCAAGGCGTATTTATGGCGGCTTGCACTGTGTAAACATGGCAAAAAAAAAAGTTTTTATATATATCACTAACTTGGCAATAAAATGAAGCCAAGTAGCGGTTGCAGTCTCAGCTGTTGAGGCTTTTTCATTTGCATTTCGCTATATTTTGGACACGGGACGCGCCCTTTTCGCACATATATATATAAATATTTTTTTACTGCCCTTTTTCAGTTGTAAACAAATGCTTGCTTGGCTGTGGAGGAGGGAAAGTCAACAGCAGAGTTTATTTTATGGCAGCCTTTTAGGCGGCACTGTTAACTGTCCACTCTCTCTCTCTCACTCTCTCTCTCTGTATTGATTTGTTATTCACACTCTGCGCAAACTCCGACTCTGCAAACCGGGGACCGGGGTATACAGGGTGCTCCATTTGTACTCTGTTAGCCCCAAAAGTCACCCGGAGAGCGCGAACTCACACATACTATTACATTTGCACTCTCTCGCTGACTCTCACGCACACTTTCCATCTTTGCAGGGGTGGCATGTGGATAAATTCTAGCCGCCATGGATCCCAGTGCTCTACAAAACATGGATCGGGACGCATTAAAGAAGCAAATCGAGAATATGAAATATCAGGCCTCCATGGAGCGCTGGCCGTTATCTAAATCCATAGCAGAGTGAGTAACAAATAAATACCAAATTAAATAGTAATAATATTTAACCAATGATAAGCAACACAAGCAACAAACACAATAGTGAAAAATAGTGTTAAAAAAATAAACAACCAGAAATCGAGGGCAGTGAAAAAGGTGTTGCCGCGTGACCCCTGACCCCATTCAGAGCTAGCTCCTCCGTCTAGACCGCAAACTATTCGCACACGTGTGCTAAAAGTCAGTTTCTGCTTCTGAAATGTTTGCTAAATGTTTACACAAATGCGAAGTGCTGCTGCTGTTGCCTTTTAAAAGTGACAACAACACTGCGTCGTCTCAGGACACAGGATATTCTGACAGTATGTGTGTGTAAGAGTGTGTGCGAGTGTGTGTGTGTGCGTGCGGTTGGTGCATGTGTGTGCGTGTGCTTGTGTGTAGACGGCGGCTAGACGTCAAAGAAGCCCCAGCTCCCCTTTACCTTCCTTTCCCCTTTACCTCTTCCTCTAAAAAAAGGGACAAGAAATTACACAGAACAAATGGCCGCCGTCGGTAAATTGGTTTTACTGAATGAGAAATTCCCCCTGTCCTGGTAATTAATTCCTATTTCTCCTTTTATTATCAATTCAATGAAAAGAACACAGGACACAATGGGGCAGTAGCTGAAAGAAGGTGAGCCTTTTCTTTGAGGAATGAGCAGTGTTTTCTCCTAGAAAGGCATTTCCTATTCCCAGAAAGCTTTGATAATAATTTCCGGAAATATTTATACTCTTACAGGGTAATGTATGTTCAGTCAGAAGCGTGTAACTCAGTGAAGAAGTAATTTCTGACCCTATAATATATTCTAGATCAGCAGCAAGATCTGAGTCGATCTAGCTATGTCCGGTCAAAAAAATAATTTTTTGAAAAATTTTTCACAATTTTCCAAAAAAAGATAATGGGTTACATCGTAAACACTTTTTAAAATTTGACAAAACTTTAGATTTCTTATACTTTAAGATCTAGTATGCAGAATTTTTAGGATTTTAAATATTAATACAGAACAGTTTTCCGAATCGAATTTATTCAATTTTTGGCTTAATTATAATACTTTAAAATGCCTGAATTACCCAAAATATTATCGATCTAATACAGTTATTCCTGAAACTCAAACAATATTTAAAATAAAATATACTATATATATTTTCAATAGATAATACAGAAAACTTGTTATATTTTAATTTACATTCCACTAGTTTTTTAGGTCAACTCTCTATGGCTTAAACTACCTACCTTTCGATTTATGGAAAATATTGTGCAAAAAGAGTAATGCTTTTCAAACTCAACTAATTCCCCCATGGAATTACATATTTTATTATTTTAAAAACTTTTGCCTAAACGAGAACAAAACCTGCTGCATAAATCACAATTAACGCTGGCGCACTCTCTCTCTCATTCTAATGGCCGGCTTTTAATTTAGCTCTGGACCCAAAGGCAAACATCCATCCTGCCGAGTTGGCCCCTTGGGCCACCACGGATTGCGTTCGTAATGTCATTTTTTAAATAAACACCCAAACGTGGTGGGAGCAGACGTCCTCTGATTTAGTTAAACATTTAGTCAGCAGCTAATTATGAATAATTAATTGGCACACAGTGAGCCTGAGCCTGAGCCTGAGCGGAGCTGAGCTGCCTTTGCCCCCAAGTCGTCTCCCTGTGTTTCCCAGCTCCGTTGGCTCATCTGTGACTTAATGTGGCTCAAACTGGCTCCAAATGTGTGCGTTGTTAGCCAGCGGCTTTCATAAATAATTTAACACCCGACTTTAGAGTCGCCTCATACCTGCAGATTTCGCCAATGTGCAGTCGAGATTCTGTTTACTAATTTGCAACACGTCGAGAAGAGGCTCGTTTCAATTAGGTGAGCTTCTCTCTCTTTGGAAGTGTTTATTTCTGGGCTCACCTCTCTGCATAATTCCCAGTTTTTCTCAGTTCTCATTTCAGCAGTGAGTCACGTCGACTCTTAATTTAGAGGTGTTAATTACAAAAATACATTATATATGTATGGCAGAGAAGCTGCCAAGTCAGGGTTGAGTGTGAAGTATAATTATGCCAAATGATATTTTGGCTTCTCAACTGTGTGTAATAAATAAATTCCCCAAAAGGTTTCCAGCTTTTCAAATGAACAACGTAATTGAGTTACAATTTACATTAAAACTTTTTGAAGCTTTCAATTTATTTTGTTGAATGCGATTACTGAAATTTAATTGTATATAATTTAATAGCAGTTAGAAGAGGCTTTCCATAAATATTCAAATGGTTATAAAGATTAAAAGTTTAAAGACATGCCAGTTCTTCATTTAAAAATCCAATAAATATGCAAAACCATTAATCAAATAATATTTCCAATTATAAATCCAGTAACCACAGCATTTTAATTTATACTTTAAATTGGAATTTCGTTTCCACAGATGTTTTTATATATTTATTTGCTAAAAAGGAAAGTAAAATAAATTCAATGCAAAATTGATATCAATCAGAGATTCTATTCAATTTTCTAAACACTAATTGGGGGCTTTTTGGCTTCTTCTTTTTCTAGTTTTTTGTAAATAACAGCAACAATTTGTCACTTAATCAGGACACAAAGCGAGTCAAATTAGACAGTCATCGCTCACATATACACACTCGGCAAATGGCAGGACACATGTCAAACTTTACAAAATCAAAGTCAATTAAATTTTGAGAGCGTATCGAAGCGTTGCTGATTGATGGCGCAATGGCACAGCATTGACCACAAAAGTGGTTCGTTCTTCATGTATATGTGTGTGTGGTTGGGTGTGGAGTATGTACTCGTTAAGTGCAGCAAACACCGCACATTATGGCGATTTGTTGCAGGCAACGTAACGACGAAATGGAACCGAAAATCCCCCTCTCCCCCGAACACAGACAGGCGGCCACAAGGATACGCTTCCTCTTTGGTCGACTCCGGGAACCCATGATTGATTGACGTCCGTGTGGGTGTCCTTGCTACATATATATCTGTGTGTGTGTGTGTGTGTGGAGACCATCGTGCGTGACAAGCACCTGGCCGCAATTTCCCTTCTCATCGTCCTGTGATTCGCCAAGGGAGCCGTAGACAAAATGTTGCATACCTCCAGGCGCATACATTTCACCTTAATGTTTGGTCAGGAGGGGAGGCCGAGCAGGTGTCCAGGAGGCGTGGCCTGGCAAAAACTTTTACTTTACATCGCATAAAATAAGTCTCGGTTGCAGCTCTACTCGGAAACTCCTTCGACTGCTGCCTATAAATCTTTGCCGCTTCTCAATTTATTATTGCCACCGCCTCTTTTTCCGTAAGGTCCTTTAATGTGTGTGTGCAGGTACTATGTATATTTGTGTATAAATAATGCAGAATGAGACACACTGGGCTACAAAATATGGGAAACGCTTTGCAGCGCATTTCAAGCGGAAAATTATGTTACTTTTGTGGCTGTTTGGGTTTAGGGCTCCTTGTTTTGTGTACGTATATATATACATATATCTGTATGGCATTTCATATTTTACTGCCGCGCTACCCGGGCAGTTTATGTGCTTTTCCACTGCGGTTTATAGTGCGCTGTAAATTTTCCCAAGGGAGGGGAGGGGAGAAGGAAAAGGAGGAGCAAATGCATTCTGCTTCCTCTAATCTTTGTTGCATTCAACTTCCGGTATCGTCGTTCCTTCAGCGGACATAAAAATGCTTTTATCCTTAGCGACTTGTCTTATTCTCAATTAAATTAACAGCTTTATTTCGATTTATTCACTCGGCTTACATATATTTGTAAATATTTATGTGTGTATTGTTACATATATAGGCAATCAATTTTTGGTATTGGCCATAAATCAGCTCGACATATTCATATTTTTTCTTTTGTGAACTTTTTTTGGACTTTCGATTTGTCCTTTTGGATGGGAAGTATCATAAATTGTTGGTTGTCGGTAATTGAGTCGGTTGATGGACTTTCTTTGTAGTAGGGAAATGCTATAGAATATGTGCTTATAAAGATTTAAAGAGTAAAAGGTTTCTAAGACAAATTTATGAAGGAATATCCTCAGTAAACTATCATTTTAAATGGGTTAAAAACTTGAATAAAAGTATTTTCAAACCTTCAGATACTTTCAGCTATAAAATACCCATTTTAAGTGCAATTTTTCTTCACAAAAACCATTGACGTCTTAAATAATGCTGCCTCATCGCTCGAACAATGCTTAAAACTTGACCAAATCATTGGCTTTTCCAGCTAGTAGTGATCTATTTTCTTTTATTCAGCTTGGCAGACAACTTTTAAGCTCCTTCCACTGGCTGCCTGCCTTGTTGCCAAATGTCGCAAAGGATAAAAAAGAAGCACAAACTTTGATTAACTTAAAGTAATGAAATTTAAGAGGGGCGTCGGGATAAATGGGCAAAACCGGAAATCCTCTCTGCCACATTTTTCCCCAATGTCCCGTTGCGGCACATTAAGCACACACACATGGCAGGCATTAGATGCGCTTTTCCGCCAAAACGCTCCCGACTCTTGTGGCTTTCATCGAGCGGAAAACGGGGGAAAAAGGAATGTGGCCTGGAATTGCTTTGTCCGCGTGTAAACTCTAAAATGGCCACGCATGCAAATTAATTGCCAGTACATGCCAGTGAAAACCGGTTGTGGTCCCTGCTTTTGGCCACGTTTTGCTTTTGGCTTAACCTTTGTTTCGCCAACGCGCCACCTCAGATCCCCGGTGAGCCAGTGAATTGGATTAGCGGTTTATTCAATTTCATTTAAATGCAAAATATTTCGAACAAAAGGTTGTTTTTTTTTTGTCGAACAAACTTTCAGCGAGAAAGTTTAATAATATTTCTTTTTTTTTCCAGAAAAAACCTTGACCAAAAAGGAAAGGAAAATCCAATTTTCTGAAAGCATTTTCATTGATTAAATTTTTTGACAGGGTTCTGAACAAGTTCTGAATCAAATAACACAATGCGTGAATTTTATTAAAGAGAATATAAGCTTAAAGCAAGGGAGATGTGAAAGAATATA